ACACACACACACATACACTCTCTCTCTCTCTCACACACACACACATACACTCTCTCTCTCTCTCACACACACACACATACACTCTCTCTCTCTCTCACACACACACACATACACTCTCTCTCTCTCTCACACACACACACATACACTCTCTCTCTCTCTCACACACACACACATACACTCTCTCTCTCTCTCACACACACACACATACACTCTCTCTCTCTCTCACACACACACACATACACTCTCTCTCTCTCTCACACACACACACATACACTCTCTCTCTCTCTCACACACACACACATACACTCTCTCTCTCTCTCACACACACACACATACACTCTCTCTCTCTCTCACACACACACACATACACTCTCTCTCTCTCTCACACACACACACATACACTCTCTCTCTCTCTCACACACACACACATACACTCTCTCTCTCTCTCACACACACACACATACACTCTCTCTCTCTCTCACACACACACACATACACTCTCTCTCTCTCTCACACACACACACATACACTCTCTCTCTCTCTCACACACACACACATACACTCTCTCTCTCTCTCACACACACACACATACACTCTCTCTCTCTCTCACACACACACACATACACTCTCTCTCTCTCTCACACACACACACATACACTCTCTCTCTCTCTCACACACACACACATACACTCTCTCTCTCTCTCACACACACACACATACACTCTCTCTCTCTCTCACACACACACACATACACTCTCTCTCTCTCTCACACACACACACATACACTCTCTCTCTCTCTCACACACACACACATACACTCTCTCTCTCTCTCACACACACACACATACACTCTCTCTCTCTCTCACACACACACACATACACTCTCTCTCTCTCTCACACACACACACATACACTCTCTCTCTCTCTCACACACACACACATACACTCTCTCTCTCTCTCACACACACACACATACACTCTCTCTCTCTCTCACACACACACACATACACTCTCTCTCTCTCTCACACACACACACATACACTCTCTCTCTCTCTCACACACACACACATACACTCTCTCTCTCTCTCACACACACACACATACACTCTCTCTCTCTCTCACACACACACACATACACTCTCTCTCTCTCTCACACACACACACATACACTCTCTCTCTCTCTCACACACACACACATACACTCTCTCTCTCTCTCACACACACACACATACACTCTCTCTCTCTCTCACACACACACACATACACTCTCTCTCTCTCTCACACACACACACATACACTCTCTCTCTCTCTCACACACACACACATACACTCTCTCTCTCTCTCACACACACACACATACACTCTCTCTCTCTCTCACACACACACACATACACTCTCTCTCTCTCTCTCTCTCACACACACACACACACACACAGCACTGGAATGTAAACTCCTTAGTTAAATCCTAGCGCCTGTCACAGCCACGGGTGCACTGTGAGTGCCTGGAAAATGGGCAGGTTAATGTAATCTCGCCTCTCTGTTTACTTTTCACAATTCCCCTAATTCCAGAGGAGTCCTCTACATTTGCTGCTGGGGATCTTTTTCTTCTTCTTTTTTTTTTTTTTTTAAGGAATCATTGGGCCCAAGGGCCGGCAAGTGGCATGGTGGTTAAGGGCACTGGACTCTCACATGGCTTACTCTGCAGTTCAAGTCCCGGACCTGGTGGTTTGCTTTTTCACTTTCTCTCTCTCTCTCACTCTGTCCCTCTTTGGTCAAATTAAAATAAATAAATAAAGCTAAATAAAATATTTCTGAAAAAAAAATTATTGGGGCCAGCAGGTGGTGTGGTGGTTAAGGCACTGGAATTCCCACATGGCTGATGGTGGTTTGAGTCCTGGACCTGGTGACTTGCTTCTTTTCTCTCTCTCTCTCTCCCTCTCTCTCCCTCTCTGCCTGTCTTTCTCTGTCAAAAATCCATGTGAAATAATAATAATGATAAATAAATTAAAATAATTCTTTTAAGGGACCAGCAGTTAGCGTAATGGCTATGTCACTGGACTCCCATGTAGTCGACCATGGTTTGAGTCCCGGACCTGGTGGCTTAAAACTCACGCCGGGCGCGTGTGCGTGCATGCCCAAGATCCCAAGAGGAGAATGGAGGAGAAGGGATTGTGGTGTGCCCATCCCCCTGGGGGGGTGATTTTTCGCTTTCTGTTTCTCCGTCTCTCTCTGTCTGTCTGGCGAGTGCACGCTCCCTATAGCAAAAACCTCTTCAAAAAAATTCTTTTAAAAATAATTATTTTATTGGGACCAGCAGTTAGTGTAATGGCTATGTCGCTGGACTCCCATGTAGTTGACCATGGTTCATGTCCCGGACCCGGTGGCTTAAACTCACGCCGGGCGCGTGTGTATGTGTGCCCAGGATCCCGAGAGGAGAACGGAGGAGAAGGGATTGTGGCGTGGCCATCCTACCTGGGGGGTGATTTCTTGCTTTCTGTTT